CTGTATTGTTGGGAATGGCGCGGGGGGTGGAAATTGGGGGACTGGTCTCACAGATTCTCAGTCTGCAGTATTAGTAGGGCATCCAGCATCTTAGCTTTGCCACTCCATAATGCTTAGGAGCTACTAGATCGCTATCCCTCCATTCCTGCAATTTTTTTGTTTGGTGTTTGTGTGACTCAGGACTCATCACAAACTCCTCTCTAGTCTGTCTTGGGAGCTTCCATGCCCTTTTCAGACACCTTGCAGGAGTTAAAACTTCTAGAGACAGAACTGGCCTCAGATTACCAATCAAGGGCAAAATTGCAACACGTCTCACAACCACTCCAAACCCTTTGAAACACTTGAATTGTCCACTGTCTGTCCTAGAACAAGCGTATGCAACATATAGACTCACAGTGGTGACTTCACCACTAAGGGTTTTCTTTAGATGCCCTAAGTGCAGCAGGGCAGAGGAAAGTTGTCCTATAAAAAGCCATCTGGCTTGACCCAGAGGAGCAAGATAGAAGTTTGGGAGCTGGTGCATGGCTCAGCTGGGCTGGGGAGGGGCCGGGAGCTGAACTGCAGCTCATCTAGACAGGTGCCCAACCGGGGGGGAGGGTCCAACATGTACCTGCAAGTTGTGGGCACAGCACCAGCTCAATGGTTTCCTTACCGCACCTTGTGGTAGATGTCTTGCAGCTCCTTCATTCTGACCCTACACTGCAGTGCATCCCGGTCATGGCCCCTTTTGGTCATGCACCCAGAGATGTGTCTGTGTTTCTTACAGCTGAAACTGAACTGCCTCATCTCCCCAAATGCTGATGAGGTCTACTACAGCCTATTTCATCAAGAAAACTGGAAGAGGACTTTCAAATTTCAAAGACACAAGGGCGGGACTTAGTCACATGAGCAAGGCAGTAGAGTTCAAACAGATGACCAGAGAGGCCAGAACAGGTATTGTGGGAAGGCTGCCAAAGGCCAGTCAGGACACAGTGGCATCCTAGTGCATAGTCCAGAGTGCAGCAAGCTCTGCACTTGTTGTGGAGGTTGTTTACCTAGACCGTGCTCACTGCGAAGCTAGTGTGCACTAAGTCCCTTACCCATATGCTCACTGTAAAAGTTACAGCCTTGGGGGCTTTTTTACTGCACAGTAACTTGCCAGTGTAGATTTGGCTTCTATATGAATCTGTCTGGCTTCAACTTCCAGCCATCAGTTCTTGATATGCTGTTGGCTGCTAAATTAAACAGCCTGTTAGTAGCCAACATTGTATTCCCATGAAGATTCTTATACACTTTAATCGAGAAATCTCTAAATCATTGACCACTGCAGATGGGCTGCTTCAACCCGGCAGTTAACCAGGTAACTTGATGTTTAACTAATTAAATAGGATTTTACATCCCTAATGTTGAGTGCTTGTCCACTTGTGACTCGACTCCTAACCATTCATAATTTTCCAGGATAGAGCCATACAATTTTCTAGATATCTAACCTCACTGTAAATGGGCCTGGCTTGCCAAAACCAGATGGCTCTGTATGACTGCCTTGTTTGTCTTTACTACTCTGCAGAACTTTGTGCCATTCCCAAGCTTTATCACCAATACACCATATTTATTTCTAGATCTTTGATAAAAATGTTGAATATAATTGGTCCTAAGGAAAAGCAGCAGAAACACCCTCATTAATAACTACTGATGTCATTTGTCAGTTTTTAATCCATATAGTCTGGCTTTTATACTGTATAGTGCTGATTTGTCTTCTAATACCACACAACATTCTGATTAAATCAGATGCTACTTGATAAAAATCTAAGTATTACATCTGTAATAGGAATCATTAAAAAAGAGGTAGAGAATAAGAAAAAAATCTATATAAACCATGGTATGCGCACATCTTGAACAGTGTACAGGTTCGGTTGCCTCATTACAAAAAGGATATATTGGCATTGGAAAAGGTTCAGAAAGTGATGATTAGGGATTTGGAATTGGTCCCATATGAAGAGAGATTAAAAAGACATGGACTTTTCAGCTTAGAAAAGAGGAGACTAACGGGGGTTGTGACACGTGTGGAAAAAGTGAATAAGGAAAAGTTACTTATTCCCACAATAAAAGAACTAGGAGTCACCAATTGAAATTAATAGGCAGCAGGTTTAAAACAACAAAAGGAAGTGTTTCTTCACTCAGTGCACAGTCAGTCTCTGGAACTCCTTGCCAGAGTATGTAGTGAAGGCTAGAACTTTAACAGGGTTAAAAAAGGAGCTAGATAGATTCATGGAGGGTAGGTCCATAAATGGATATTAGCCAGGATGGGTAGGAATGGTGTCCGCAGCCTCTGTTTCTCTAGAGGTGGGTGATGGGAGGGATCGTGTGAGGATTACCTGTTGTGTTCCCTCCCTCTGGGGCATCTGGTATTGTGGCCACTGTTGGCAGACGGGATACTAGGCTAGATGGACCTTTGCTCTGACCCAGTATGGCAGTTCTTATGTTCTTATCTATGCAGCTGCCTTTCAACCAAATATAAACAAAAAAAATGAAATTAGTTTTGTTTGAATTACTGATATTTTTCATAAAATTGTGTGGCATTAATTATATTGCTATTTTGTATTTAATGAATCGCATAGTCAGGGCTTGCCGAACTGCGGCGAGCCCTGCTTGCCAGCCGTGCTGTCCAGCAATCTGCGCATGCGCAGATCGCTCGAACTCGGCTCTTCCGGGTTGCAGTCTACTCACCAGATTGCATTATTTGTCGAGCCCTGCCCATAGCAACTGTTCCTTTATTTTTCCTTGGGGTGCTGTGTAACTGCTTATAGTTATCGAGGTCCTTCTGCTTGCCTTTTGATTGACACGCTAGCAATTTTTCAGTCTTCTGGGTTTTCTCTGGTATTTCAGAATTTTTAAAAAATTAGCATCAGTGGAGCTGGAAATTCACCTTATCCAGGAGGTATGGGGAGATGGCTCTTTATTATCCTTACTTTTGCCAGGCTATGAATTTTTTTGTGCTTTTTATGGCTTTGCCTTTCCTTATCAATTTTCTGCACTTAATTTTGCTAAGTTGTATTTTGTTTCCCTTTTTTTCCATTTATTATGCATTGCATTTTCCCTCCTCAAATTGCCGTCTTCACTTAGCCATGGACCAAGTTTGAGTTTTTAGCCAGAGTTGTTCTTGTGATTGTGGAGTTGTCTGCTCTTCAAACCACCACTTATTTCTGCAGAAGTTTGTCTCTGATGTTCTCTATCAACTAGCTGGAATGTAATACCTACCAACAAAGCCACAATAGCCAGTCTGAATCATATCAGGTAGTTACAGTAGAACATCTTGGAGTTGACCAATCTGCTGCTTGTTAATTCCCAGTTGTCCTACGGAAGCTCATGAGACTATTGGGAATCTTGTGTATTTTTAAACTTATCTTATTACATATGAACTACATCCTGTTAACTGGAATATACATTTAATTGTTGACTGAACAATGTCATATAACTAAATTACAAACTTTTGGTGGGCTTCAGAATGGGGGGCATGCTACAGGTAAGATGTGCTTAGTGATAGAGGTCTTAGCACCAAAAATGTGCCTGATCCAATGGTTCTCTCAAGTGTTGGTTTCAACGGTTACGTGAAAACTTATAAGAGAAATGTTGATCAAAATTGGATTCAGGTAGCTGAAATGATAAATGAAAATATAATCCTCTGTCCTGCACATGCTTCACTTTAAGTATGTGAATTGTTCAGTTGGCTTCTATGGAACTACTTGCTTTCATAATGGTATGCATATACCCAAGAATTTCAAAGATTGGGCGCTAAGGTTGACCACGTCATCTTCTCCATTAGTAGTTTTTTTGTGTGTAATATTTGATTGTAGAAAGACCTAAAGGCCTCAGCCAGGTACTCTACTACCGAACAGTCTATTCTCTAAGATGCTTGCAAAAAAGACAAGCAATTTTTAAAAAGTTACAATAGAACTTCTTCCCACTTTCTCCTGGGAAAGAACTCCCCTCCCTCCCACCCCCCCTCCTGCTCCGGTGCTTCTGCTATGTACATTCCCATCTCTTAATGCTATCCAGCCCTTATATGAAAACATTTCAACTCACTGATTGGAAGAAGTTAAACAAATAGTCTTGCAGCACCTTTGAGGCTAATAAAAAATGTAAATGGTGTCATGAACTTTCATGGTTGTGCCAAGGTAGGTTAAGATAGCATCTACATTTTTTGTTCGTCTCTAAGGTGCTAAAAGACTATTAGTCTGTAACTGAATAAACTTAAACAACAAACATGGCTACCCCTTGAAACTTGTGATTAGAAGATTTTTTTTTTTTAAATGGCAGCATGAGGCACAGAGCCCAGAATCCTTCTGATCTTTATTCTTGTGCCGCCTCTTGGGTAAGGAAAGAGAAAGGGACCTTGTTTCTACTTTCATCTAAGTGTGCAGGAGACCCACAAAATATCTTCCCTGGGTTCCACCATTGTCTGCTGGCTCCATTCCCTATCTATTTCCCTTTCTTGTGGCAATTGTTTTGTTTCTTTCATGTGTCCATTTTATAGTATATGTTGGCATTTGTGATAATGCCAGATTAAAACCAAAGTAGAAAACCTATTTTGACTGTGCAGATTTTATAAATTGATATTCTCTAGTCTCTTAAAAAAAAAAAAGTATGAAGTCCATATAAGACAGCATTTACAGAGCTGTATATGTTCTCGCTATTGAGCTCCTGTTGAATTCTGCTGAAAACATAGCAAAATAAGTTGGGGAAATTTAGTTACTTCTTTCTTGAGTGGTAGTGGTGGTGGTTTTAAGAGAGACCACAGTCCTCATTTTAGAGGTGAGCAGATAAAATTAAAGAATGGTTGGCCATATTTTTCTAGTATCTTCCACAAAAAATGCATATTTCTGAAGTCGTTGGATTGCCTGGTTCCACTTTATATTTTGGGAAACATGACATGTGTACTACCTATACTTAAGGAAAGAATTGTGTAACTATACCATGTTTATTAGTCGGAATGAATACATACAAACTATCTTACTTTTTAGTTATTTGTCCAGTCCAATCATGGTGATGAAGAGACAACAAGAATTACTTATTTTACGTTTATTGGAACTCCAGTCCAAGCAACAAACATGAATGACTTCAAGCGAGTAAGTTGGATTCCTGAACACACACATGAATGTTTAATTGCGTTATTAAACATTGGTAGTTGCATCTCAGCTAACTGAATTCTTTCTATAATTGTTCATTTTGAGTTGATACCTCTTCCTCTCAGTGAAACATATGTGCCTTTGAAACTTTGAGATCTTGGCTTTGTTACAACTTTGTCTGGAACGTGTTATTTACCTAAGGATCTTTCAAAGTGAAAGGCATTTTGGATATGTAAAATAACAGCTAAGGGTTTAAAGTTGATACATCATGAACACTGCAACTGAAATCTTGAAGGGGTCATTATTTGTCCGAACGTTTCTATGCCCTAGAGGTGGGCAATTTGTAGAAAAGTTGTTACATATATTGGAAAATAGAAAGCATACATAAACCATAATAAATCTGTTCCTGAAGATTTTGTTCAGGAGGCAATATTGAGTGGATTAGAGAGATTTGTAAATGATTTATAAGAGTGCTGCTTCAATAACAGTGTCTATCTTCATACAATTTCATAACATAATTATAATCTAACTTTAATTGTTCCATTATTATTTAAGAATGGTTTATTCTTAATAAAGGTTTATCTGGCTATTCCTTGAGAGCTGCTTTTTGGACCATTCTAGATGGGGTATTAAGTTAAGATGGTCTTAACTAAAGGAAATGGAATATTTGAGTAGCAAACTCTGTCTACAGTCTGCTTTTATCAGCAAAACTTGTGTTGCTCAAGAATGTGAATTCTCCCTTCTCTCCTCAGAGTAACATCAGTTATATTGACATAAGTGCTGGTGTGGACTATGCTATTTCAGCCGGAAAACATCTGTCAGCATAGCTTTTGCCTGTTCTGGGAATGGTTTTATTATTCAAAATCTTAACTTCATCGGAAACTGGCCACTTAAATGTGCAAGCCAATCAATTCAATATCTGATCTGTCCTATACTAGTGCAGGTAACTAGTATTACCACACTATTTAAATAACTGACTTTTTGCAAATACTATTGATGTAAAGAAACATACGTTTACCATTGCCATGAAGTTATCAGGAAGCCTTGATAACTAGGGATAGAATCATAGAATACTAGGACTGGAAGGGACCCCGAGAGGTCATCGAGTCCAGTCCCCTGCCCTCATGGCAGGACCAAATACGGTCTAGACCATCCCTGATAAACATTTATCTAACCTACTCTTAAATATCTTCAGAGATGGGGATTCCATAACCTCCCTGGGTAATTTATTCCAGTGTTTGACTACCCTGACAGTTAGGAACTTTTTCCTAATCTCCAACCTAAACCTCCCTTGCTGCAGTTTAAGCCCATTGCTGCTTGTTCTAAATGTTAAAATGCATGTAACGATTGAAAATTTCAGCTGTTACACGCTTACATGCAGGGCGGTAGTTGGCTCCCTGGGAGCCAGTGCACGTGGGGTGCCAGCTTTTTAAGCCATCAGAGGCAGCAGTGCAGGGGAGGTGGGAACAGGCGGCTCCCCAAGAGCCAGTGAGCACAAGAAGCCAGCACTGTGAAGGTTAATTGAGGAGCCCATGGTTTCAGTTACTTTTTCACATCCCTATTGATAACATTTAGTATTCAAAGGATTTACAGATAAATTTATGACCAGGAGTTTGAATGTGATCCTTCAGAACTGGCATGTTTAACATTTGGTTCAGTTCTTAAATTTTAGAGTGATTGAAAAGCATGCCTTAAATGTTAAAAATTGATTGGATTACTGATTTAGAACCATTTAATACAGAGTCTTCATTTGGCTCAAAAACCAGAAGAAAAATGTAGACAAGTCTTACCAACCAATTGCAATGAATGGCCAAAAGACATCTGTTCTGTTTTTTTAAATGACTTTCACTATTTGTGTTGAATTCGTTTTACAGAGTTCTAGAATAATTTGATAAGAGTTTCTTTTATAATTTTTTTCTGTTTCATAATCTGTAATTCACTTTCAAACTGATTTCTTGGTCTCCATTCCAGGAGATCTTTCTCACTATTTGAAGAAAATTTTAATTTGAGTCGAAAATGAGAATGTGTGTTTTTGCATTTTAAAAATGCAGGCACACTTTTATTCACTAATGAACTGGATTTCAGGCTTGTATAAGTAGTGCTCAATGAGGTGTATGTTTGCTAAGTTTTGGGGGGGAAAAAACCCACTGATTTTTAAGCTGTGTGGTTTGTGATACAGCAAAAGTTGTACCAAATTGCTGCCTCTGTCTGGACTCTCCTCTAGGGCCATCTGTCACCTTTCCATTTTTTTTTTAATCCACTCACTGGCTCTCTCATATTCAGTTTTGACTACGTCTTCATAAAGCTGTGCAAGCACCTAGAACTGCTACAGTTCTTCAGGCATCTCTTGCTTTGTGTTCTGGTTTGGTTGAGTGACTCCAAATGTCAGTCCTTGCCTCTGTGGAAAGCAGATTCTAAAGCTGCTACTTGGTAGACAGCTGTTATTTACCAGAGCAACACAAGAGTTTCCCAGAAGTCCAACTGAATGCATGCTCCCTGAAGTGTACACATAAGTGCTGCAGTAAAAGAATACATATTTCTAAGTATGAGGGAATGTATTTGTGCATCCCTGACTTCCGTTTAGACCAGTGGTCCCCAACCTTTAGAGGTGCCCGGGGGCAGAGCCACTCGCGCCGAGCGAGTAGGGGCGGGGCAGCGGGTCCGGGAGCATGCCAGGGGACTGGGATGCCCTTGCACCCGGCGCCGGCATGTGCCCTAGGGCCGGGGCTGGGGCCGCCTGAGCGCCGCGCGCCCGGCGCCCGTGCATATCGCACGCCTGGGGCCAGCGCTTCCCGTGCGCCCCGGGCGGCGCCGGCCCAGGTTGTCGGTGGGCGCACACAAATGCCCCGGCGGGTGGCATGGCGCTCGCGGGCACCGCGTTGGGCATCACTGGTTTAGACAATATAAAACTAGATAAAGTATTTAACATTAAAGTTTGCACTGTTAAAACCAGTCAGGAAATGCAAAATGTGAAGGGATAAATTAAGGACTGATTTAACCAAATATGAATTTGGCCCAATACTTCTAGGACAAAATTTATTCATCAAATTAAATGTGTATATGCATCAGTAATATTTCTTCTTTGTGTGTTTAATCATTGAATATGTAATTTAATAGTTTATGGTAACATGTGGGATGTGTAGTCTGGAGAAGGTACAGTTCCCACAATTTTAATTTTTACATTTCCAGGTTTTTTGCAATTTATCCAAAGGATGTTGTGAAGACCAGGACTTTAACAGTGTTCAAAAAGAACTAGATAAATTTGTGGAGCATAGGTCCATCAATGCTTATTGGCCAAGATGGATAGTAATGGTGTCCCTAGCCTCAGAGGCTGAGAATGTGAGAGGAGTAGTTATAGCTTTATTATTTCCTGTTCTGTTTGTTCCCTTTGGGGCATCTGGCATTGGCCACTGTTGGAAGACCAGATACTGGGCTAAGATGAACCTTTAGTTTGACCCGGTATGGCCATTCTTGTGTTCTAGCTGTATTACTTTAACATATCTTTGGACATTGTATTAAAGTGTGTGTGGGGGGGGCGGGGGCGGCTAAGAATTTATCTGGAAAACTTCAAAATCCATTTTCTTTTCATATGCACAGTTACCTGTAGAACTGAGAATGCACTATTTTAATTTCTCTTGCTAATTTCAATTAGGGCTCATATTATGCTCCATTGTGCTCTTTTAATTCTAATGTATAATTATAACAGCTTCGTAAAATGAGTGCTCACAGTAGATGCTTTACTTTTTACCAGTTTGTACTGTCTTAACACTTTGTATAACTTATTGTGTTTATACTATAGTTTATCAGGGAGGGAACATCTTGTTTGCATTTAAAGTACTAGGGATGTTAATAAACATTAAAATAATTAACCAGTTAAACAATTAAAATATACTGTTATCAGTCTGGCAAATGGCAGCCAGAGTCAGGTTCCAGTATGCCCGCCCAGCAGTGTTGTAGCAGCCAGGGTCCCTCTCTGGGTGCTCTAATGCTACTGGGGTAACCAGAGCCCTACCATGCCACTCACAAGGCTTGGGGTCCTGTCAGAGCACTGTTGGTGTGCTCCAGCATAGCCAGACTCAGGCAGGGCAGCTGCTGATTGATCTTTCATTTTTAATCTCAGAAGCTAACTGTGACACAGGGATCCAGCTATTAATGTTAGGTCAATGAATAATATGATGTAGAATAAACACAGCTTTTAATAATATGATGTAGAATAAACCTCCCTGTCCTCAAACTTGACTTTAGCTGATGAGAAGTAGGAACTGTTAAATGTTTTAAAAATGTTTATAGAACTTCAGTAGATTGTGGCAAACTGAATCTTAAGGTATGTCTAGACTACATGCCTCCGGCGACAGAGGCGTGTAGATTAGGGTACCGGACATAGTAAAATGAAGCGGCGATTTAAATAATCGCCGCTTCATTTACATTTACATGGCTGCCGTGCTGAGCCGACAAACAGCTGATCAGCTGTTTGTCGGCTCAGCGCGGCAGCCATGTAAATGTAAATGAAGCGGCGATTATTTAAATCGCCGCTTCATTTTACTATGTCCGGTACCCTAATCTACACGCCTCTGTCGCCGGAGGCATGTAGTCTAGACGTACCCCTAGTGGCAGGGAAGAAAAGAGACTATTGCCCTGCTTTGTGACATCATGAGCAGCGGCAGAGTGTAAACAACATAATTTAATCTTCTATTTTCCTGGAAGGTCAATGCATAGTCAGAATACATCTTGAAATCCTTGCGTTATTTGCCATCTTTATGAATTTAATAAGATGGAGGGGGAAGGACATCATAGATATGTTAACATCTAGATCTTCCCTTAAACTATTTATTACTTAAAACTACCATATCTGTAATACAAATGACAATTATTGTGGCAGATTACTTTTAAAATGTTTTCTTCCAGAGACTTTTCTAGGTGTTACCCTGCTAGTCAGGCCAGCCAAGTAAGATTGGTCAAAATGGATTTATTTTATTTCCCATTTAACTTAGAAGTTGTCGGTATCTTGCTATTGAATGTTGTGGTGAACTTGCAGGCCAATTATGTGAAGAGAAGGAGGATCTTACTTTCTTTCATGCGAGAAGGCTTTTAAAATAGATTTCACTTTATATTCATTACCCATTAATATCCGCTTTCTGGAACCCTTATAAGCAACTGTTCCTTTTTGGAATGAGGACTTAGGTGCATGTGAAACATAGGTTCCAAAGTCCCAAAATAATCATAGCTTTTCATTTTTTCTTTAACTGCACACCAGGCTGTTGTTGTGGTTTTTTTATTCTAACATTTTGTTTTTGTTTTTTCAGCTTAACTTCCCAGCCCCAAAGAACTAAAAATGCAGAAGAAAATGTTTAAAAATGAATATTAAGATTGACCTAGTCTCGCACTACACCCTTCCCTGTTCCCTCTGCTCATCTACCATCTGTCTCACCCTTTCCACAATCTCACCGGTGGGGCAAGAGCCTTCTCTGCAGATCCTGTGCTCTGGAACAGCTTTCCTGTACCTCTCTGCTTCATTGACTCATCTTCTTTTATCCCATCTTAAGAGATTCTCTCGCAACTTTGCTTTCTTAATTTTTATGCTTGTTAACATTAAAACTAGATAATAGATTTGTTACATAATGCTTTAGACCTTGTTTTCTGAGACTTTTATAGTCCATCTTATATTTAATTCTGTAAAACAATTTGAGATGCAATTTGGGACTTGGTCAAGTTTTTTAATTTGTTATATAAAATGTATGGTGAATAACAGTCTACTTTGCTTTTAAGGTGTAATCTGTTATGAAGACAATTTCAGGTTTTTTTCATCTATAGTTACAGTTCCAAACTTCCGATCTAGTTGGCCAATTTTTTGGTGGTAATATGTTCAGCAAATCACAAATTCATTTCCTTGCCATTGTTGGGCCAATCAGGTCAAGCAGTTATACACATAATAAAAAAATCTAATTTGAAAGATTTGTAAAATTGTCAGAATTGCAGTACCTAATCATAGTTAAGGTACAATAGCTAACAAACAGCTGTCATAGCAAGTGACCTGTAAATGACAAGAGGGAGATAGATTTCTTGTAAAAATTAAGATATTGTTCTTACAATCATCCTTTATTTGGGGTACAGATGGGAAATCTTTTTGGCCGGTGATGACACACTATCCATTCTGGTGCTTAATTTTTGCAGGTAATACACATGGGCAAGTTGACAATTCCCACCTCTGAATGGTATAGATCTATTTCTCGAATGATACACATCTGCTAACATCTTAATCTTTGATATTAGTGTTTTTAAGTTTAATCCAAATCTGGGCACTGTGCTTGGGGTTTGAGATGCACAAAATACATATTTTGCTTAAGTTTAATATTTTTTAACTTGATTAATCATACTTTAACAAGTGAATGATTTTTTTTTCTGGACACTTCAACATTTCTGTCCAACTAGAATTCTCTTGGCCCTATGCATTAGACTCTTCAGCTCAATGAGCATCCTTCTGGCCATCAGTTCTTTGAAGGAAATGACCAGTAGATTCCAAATCTCTTTACAAGGGAATTCAATCACCATTGGGGTATTTTTGGTGTGAAAACAATTGCAGCTGAATGGTGGAAGGCATTTCCTTTCAGCTGTTGGAGACCCTGCGAAGGAGGAAATACAGGGAAAGTAACCCAGATCTCCCATGTCACAGCAGAACATAATCACTGTTCCAACCAGGTTCACCAACCTTCATCTTTCAGCCAGTACTAAAGTACAGAGTTCTATAAACCTTTGTGAGAAAATGCTGTGTCTTTGGGAAACAAGGTGTACAGCAAAGGTAACCATACTATCCCGTAAACACATTTTCCCACAGCAAGCAGCTTTGAAAAGTAAAAATCTCTATTTTAATAAGACTTCAGCATTATCAGTACTATTGTGCTAAATTTAGAAGGGTAAGCAGATAAAAGCAGAGGATGATTTTCCCCCCCTTCATTTGTTTAGTTTGTAACCAGTTACTTCTGGGTTGTCAAATTCAAATATATAGTTCTAGTCTGAAAGGTGACTACACACCAATCTGCTGCCTATCTTGTGTGTACTTATCTTAGCTAAGTGAACTGGATTCTTTCTTTCTGTGTAGCAAAGAATGGTTTAAACTCCAGTTCTTTTTACTTGTGTGTGCAGCCTCAAAGCTATTGAGATGTCTGTAGAAGGCAAATCTGCCCTCTAAATCTTTACTGCTGGTGATGTATAGAAAGGGAAGAACTAAACTTGAATCTGATTCCATACTGTTTGCAGAGCTTGCAGTTAGGAATTATTTTCACTGACCATGTGCACACTTGACATCAGTCATTGACAATAAATGTAGAATGCTGCTATGCCACTTCTGTTTACTTTTCAGTGTTGAATTGAATTCTAAAGCAACATTTCTTGACAAAGACCTATCCTTAATGTAAACCTAGTTGATCTCCTGCCTAGAAGGTTGGGTTTGGGGTAGTCTTACCACTAAACTTTGTGTTCAGATCTGATTCTTGATATCTAACTTGGTTTTGTGAATAATAAAAATATGTAGATTGTTTGCTTTTTCCTAACTTGCTCAAACAAATGAGATTTTTACTATCTGGATTAAAAATACTAAAAATTGGGGATTTCCTCACACAATGTTTAATCGTTGCAGGAATTTATAGCTCCATCAGTTTACGGCACTAGAATGTGTGCTGAAAAATCCATGAATACCATGGGAGGAATATCACGTTTTGTTTAGAGCTTATAAAAATGTTTGTGGAGTTTGTTTTCCAACTTAACTTTCATTAGTGATTATTTTCTATTTTTCTTTGTCAGGTGGTAGGCAAGAAAGGAGAGAGCCACTAAGATGGAAGAGACACTGGATCGCCTTATTGCAATCAGTTGGAATCTTCACTTTATCTACAGCTCCTGGATAATTGCTTGACTATAGCCAGAGACTGTCAAATTGTTTCATTTAATGCCATTACCAATAAATCATTGCTTTTGTTGAGAGATGAAGCTTCACTCGAGTGTTTCTGTTGTAATCTTGGTACATGTATTTGTAAATAAAATCCATTACTTTTGCCAAGTTTAATTTTGTCATTGTAATAACAAAGACTCTTCTATAGTTGCATTTAAATTTCAAAACTGGACTGGCTTATCTTTAAAAACAGACTTAATGTAGCCATTTGTTTGTTTAGTTTAAAATGTCAAATTTAAGTAAAACATATTTGGTTTTCTCAAAGTTCATTTTAAAAATAAAATTGAGAGCTACTTTGTTTTAAGTTGGTGCTAATTGGTGGTCAACATTGACACAATATGGATACTTCTCAAAGGGTATATTTTTTTTCTAAAAGTATTCCTTTCCCCTTCCAAAAATATAGGATGAAGAAGCATATTTCATTGCTTATTAACTTTTTTTGTCACAAGTTATGCATCAGTTTGAAACTAAAAGTAGGATATGATACTTCACTGCACATTAAGCATCAAAATTCTTGCTAGTCTTTCAAAATATCTCCAGTTTTACTGGAAAATTGTGAACTTGTTAGCCAGCCAGCCTCCCATTGGGTATACAGAATAGGAGATGGCCAGGCACTATTGATACTTGTAAGTTTACCGGATCCCTTTGTTGTTGCTGAACTTAATTGGCATTATATTTTTTTCTCTGAATCTTGATATAGAAGTGCTTGTTACAGATACCATTCTTGCATCTTAATCTGAATTCCTTAAAGTATGGGCATCTGCAATTGATTGTTTAAAACCTTTTTTGCAAAAATTCCCTGGAAAAGTGCACCAAATAATTTTAATAAATTCCTATAAAGTTTTACTAAGTGGTTTTTAATTGGCATAATTAGTTTATTTGTAAAATTAAATTTGTTACATTTCTAATTAAAATAAATCCCAATAAGAATTAAATCCTATCCTAATTGGCATTCTTTTCTTGAACACAATAGGGATTGTTCCTTTTTGGTTTGGCAGATTTACACATTTTTACCAAGCTGACTTTCTCTGCATACACATTTTATTTGGAAGTTTGAGATTGTGCACAAACCACATTTGAGGCACTTTTTTTACTGTATTTCTACATACCCGTCTTTACTCAGACATCTGTATTGTACGTATTTAAAGGCATTAATGCCTTGATTTCTTTGTAATTAAGTGTTTTGCTTAAATGGAATGAGGCATCTGAGATACTGTATATAGAATTTAAAATTACTTTTCAATATAAGCAAGGGCAATATGAATAACTGTTTATAATTTTTGTACACTAATTACCTTTTGGGTTATTGTTAAAGTGCCTCATCTTAACTATTACTTACCTCATACTATTGAAACCTGAAAGAATTTGATAATCTAGTTATTCTCATCTTTGTAAAAGGTCAAATTTATATTTGCCTCTTCTGTGACTTCATTGGTTGCATGGTGCGTACTTTCCATAATATACAATGTAAATAGATCTAAAATATTTAGAGGTAATTGTAATATGTTCAGTTGATGGAAAGAGTTATTAAAATCATGCATATCAAACATATAAAGCTGAAGTTCTGATAATTTCCCTTCTAGAGAAAGAGGTCCTAAAATAAACCTAATTGTTGAAACAAACATGCGTATAAGGCTATATAGTAGAAAAGTCATTTATTTTGGTTATTGCTTTGAGTAATTGATTTCTTAATATGGAAAGCTGCTTCCTCACATTTGATCCATGTTTGACTATTCTAAATAAACCAGAATTAGTTTTCCATCTAGCATGTGGTTATGTGTGTTTTGGAATCATCCAAATGCCATGCCCACTAAGTGGAGTCTAATGTTGGCTACCTTAAGCAACAGTCACTAATATTCACTGTCTTTAAGCTGCATCACACTGTTGACCATTTAATTTGTAATCCTGTACAGCCCCATGCTTCTTTTAGTATTATAGCTAGTCAATTATTCCTGAATGTGTATTTGTATTCTTTTCTTAATTGTATTAAATTGCCCTTCATTGATTTTTTTCATGCTGCTGACTTCAAACCAGTTCTCTAATTTGTCAAAATTATTTTGAATTATAATTGTGTTCAAGTGCTTACATCCCATAATGGGAGGTGTTTGCAATTTTTATAAGTATACTCCTCATTCTCTTTTCCAGTGCATGCTCAAAAGTCTGATGGGTAACTGTTAGTCTGTACCTTCAAAAATGAGTAGTCTTGTGACACCTTAGACACAAATGTGGGTAAAACTCACTTCTCTTCTGTAGTGGATTTTGCACACACAAGCTCATAATACTATATATATTTTTGTTCGTTTCTCAGGTGCCACAGGACTAATCACTTTCATTAAAATCATTAATGAAAACATTAGTTCAAGTGCTTGCCCCCAAGCTATGTCATCCCAATTCAACAGCAAACCATTGATAGCCATTCCTTAAGTACAGTCTTTAAAACAGCTGTGTCCCCACCTTATAGTATTTTCAGAGTGGATTTCCCCAGTTTGCTTATGAAAGTGATGCACAGGACTATTAAAAGCACTACTCAAATCAAGTTACAGCATACCTACTGCTTTCTCTCTGCTTTGCACTTCACTAGTCCAGTAATGCTGTCAAAGGTAGAAATTAGGGGAGTTCATGATTTTTTTTTCTTGACCAATCCATGATGGTATTCCTATCATTATCCTCTAAGTGCTTAAAAATTGCTTAGTTCCATTATTAGTTCAGATATTAAATCAGGCTAATCAATTTATAATTCCCAGCATTCTTTGTTCCCTTATTTAAGGATAGGTATAATGCTTGCTTTTTTCCAGTCCTCTGGGACTTCATTTGTCCTTCAGTACTAAGTTAATTGCTAATAGTTCAAATATTCCTTTTTATATTACTTTATATAGTTTAAATATTTTAGGATGAATTTCATCAGACCCTGTTCAATTGAACATCTCTACCCTTATAGAATCATAGGACTTCATCTAGTCCAGTCCCTTGCACTCATGGCAGGGCAACATATAATCTAGAGACCATCCCTGACAGGTGTTTCTCTAACCTTTTAAAATGTCCACAGTGATAAACTTCTGCGACCCCTTTGGGTGGTAGAAATATTACCTAAATATTCTTTAACCTGTTCACAACCCAAAATTGGGCAGGGAGTTCCCTTCCACCTTGGTAATAAAATTGTGTTAAGTATCTGGTCACCATTAACTTTTTAAATGAAGACTGATGCATAAAAGATATTAACTAGCCTTGTTGTCATCAGTTGCCAACTCTCCCTGGAAGAAGAACTTAAGCTTTTTTTTCTTGTTCCTACTGTATTTAAAGAAACTTTTACTGCCTTTTATGTCCCTTGCCCCTTATTGTGCCTTAGTCTTTGGGCACATCTAAACGATATTCCTTTTCCAAGAGGAATATAAATGAGCCCAATCAAAAGTACAAATGAAGTGTGGATTTACAAATCAAATGCTTCATTTGCATAATCACGAGTGCTTTTTTTGAAAAAGGGTTTTTCAAAAAAGAAACCAGTCTAAACGGGGGAAAACCTTTCTCAAAAGAACCCCATCTAGACTGTGGGGTTGTATGTACTCCTGAAAAATGAGGTGGATTCTTTTGAAAAGCAGGGGCTTTTTTTTTTTTTTTCAAAAGAACCCCATCTAGACTGTGGTTTCTTTTTCGAAAAAGCGCACTCAGGCGATTATGCAAATGAAGTACAAGATTTGTAAATCTGCGCTTCATTTGCATTTTCAATCCAGCTTATTTACATTCCTTTCGGAAGAGGAATATAGTTTAGCTATATCCTTTCTGATTTTTTTTTGGTCCCTTCGTTTGTGCTATTCTTCTGTATTCTTCCTTATTAATTTGACCTGTTTCTACTTTTGATAGTATTCCTTTTTGATTTTCAGGTCAAAGATCTGCTGATGGAGCCATGTTGGCCTCTCATTCTTCCTATCTGTTCTTCACATTGGGATAGTTTGCTGTTGTGCCTTCTAATACGGTCTCCTTTAAAACTGCCAGCTCTCCTGAATTCTTTTCTTAGATGTTTTTTTCCAATGGGACCTTATTTACCAGTTTTTTGTTAACATCTTTTTTGAAGTTTATTATCTTTATTCTGCTACTCTCATTCCTTTTTTGCTTAGAATAATAAATTCTGCCCTTTCATTATGTTCAATGGAATTGCCATATGCCTTCAGATTCACAGACAATTCTTCCGTGTTGATCAGAATCGCCTCTAAAGTGGCTGTTCCCCTGGTTCCATCTTCTGCTTTCTGAAACAGTTATCCCAAATACATACCAAGAGCTTAGAAATGTTGAGTTTTACTACATTACTTTGTAGTAAAATTACAGATGTCCACATGATTAAAATCCTCTGTTACTAGCAGGTATTGTTTTGGCTGTTCTTCTCTCTTCTAGAAATGCCTTCACCACCTTTTCTGCCTGACTTGGTCACCCATATTTTTCCTCTGTAAATTTTCACCCGGAAATTTTCAACTGACCTGTTTCTCACTACTTTCTGGACTTCAGAACAGTTCTCCATTCTCTGGATCTATAATGCAGCACCACCTTTCTTGTTCCAGAACAAGCTGAAGTCCTATATCCTAACATTCCAGTCATGAGCAAAGCCTGGTGTGGGTACAATTGTCTACCCCTAGATGCAGATTTGTGTAGATAGACATCAGTATCTGTTGATCAGCAGGGCTCTACTCCCACAAAACACTGGCCAAAGGGGAGGAGTTTGGTGCTGCTACTTGCAGCATCTCCAGGGAATGCAGGCTGCACTGCTGCTAGCCCTGCCTTGAACCACCTCTCCTGTCCAGTGTGGAACAATCTTACTGGCAGCAATGTAACCACAAGGCTGTGA